GGGTATCTAGTTTAAAAAATTTGTCCGATGACCCCCGCCTTCCAACCATCATGGCCGACATGGTTAAAAATAGAACATAGGGGTTAAATGCAGTTTTTGGTTTATATCTCTGAAACTAAAGCATTTAGAGCAAATCTGACAGGTGGCAAAAATGTTCATCAGATTTAGATTTATCTGCCCTGAAATTTTCAGACGAATCCGACAACCCGTTGTTGGGTTGCTGCCCCTGAGTTAGTAATTTTACAGAAATTTTGCAGTTTTTTGTTAATATTGTAGATATCATTATAATATCTAATATCTAATACTATTAATTATGATTTTAACCTTATTTTACATGATTTCCAAAGCATCAGTAAATACAGGTGAGCGACACAGGCTCTTGAGAGCCTCTAGTTTGTGAATGTTGTTATAAATGTAAGCTTGCTTGTGTGTTGTACAGAGAATGTAAGATCATATCATTTAATAGGTGGTACAGTGGATATAACATGTAACGAAGTTACGGAAACAGGACAACTCCAAGAGATTTACCATGCATCCGGGGGGCCATGGGGAGGAAACATGATCAACAAAAGAATATGGAAACTTATCCGATCTATATTTGGCAATGCCTTCTTTGATCAATGTATGAAGAAGTACACATATGCACAATTGGAGCTCTTGAAGGCAATAGAAGAAGGAAAAATGAAAATAAGCCCCGGTGCGAAAGCTGTTTTTAAACTTCCGTATGAAATGTGTGACAACACAAATATTACATCTACAGCAGGAGAAATAATAGGGGGGAAAATTCATATTAATCCCAAGGATATTTCGATAGTATTTGAAAGTTCTATCAAGCAAGTGTGCACTCATCTTTCAAAGGTTTTGGCAAGAGATGAAACACGGAATGTGAAAGCTCTGTTGCTTGTTGGTGGATACGCATCCTGTAAAATGTTAAAGGAAAGAATCAAGACAACGTTTAATGAATATGACATTATCTGTCCCTTAACACCTGAAATGATAGTTTTGAAAGGTGCAGTTATCATGGGTCACGAGAGTCGGCCTATTATTGGTCGCTTGGCCCGTTTTCATTATGGCTTGGCAGTACCCAGTGGATTGAAACTGATTCAGAAGATGGATACACCTCATGTGCGCACAGAATTTTATAACGAACTAAATTTTCTTCCACTAATCTTAAAAGGAACCCCAATACGTATAGGTGAAGAAGTAGCACAATATAGTTTCATTGTTACTAGTGAAGAGCTGACAGACATTCAAATTGGAGTTTTAACTTGCGAAGATGACAAAGCTCCGAGCACAATTGCAGAAAACAATTGTACCCAAATTGGACAAATTGAGGCTAAAATTCCAGCACTAAGTAAATTGACAGAAATAAGGATAATTGTATCATGTGATGAAACTGAGTTCAAGGTAACAGCTGTTATCGAAGAACTCGGGCATAGATTTTCAGCACGCTGTTTATTTTTGCATTAATTTTGATAAACTGAACATAATATTCAGATAAAGGAACATTGTAGAAATAAACAGTTTTATTTCATCAAATTAGAATTATTTTCTTATAAATCATTTGAAGATGTAGCTTGTTGAGTAAATAAATAATTTTCAATTATATAAGAGAAACCTTGGTATGAAAGGTTCTTATTTCTGGTGTATTTTTTTATTCAATTAACAATCTACATGTTCATTAAACAGAAGAGGTTCGTGAAGGTCCCTGCTTGGTATACGAAAATGAAGAATTACAAAATTAGTATATTTTAGTTTAAAGATAATAATTATTATCAGGCATGTCCAATAGATCTTTAAAATATCGAAGGAAATTTTACGGTCGAAGGATTAAAAAATAATTAAATTGTACAAAATTAAATATGACAATTTTGCATATATTGGTAACTTGGAAATATTGAGCACATACAAGCCCCACAAACATATTTACATGATACTGGATCATATATAATCAATTGTTTTACACTAGTCAATTTGTGGTCCTTTATAGCTTGTTGTTCGGTGTGAGCCAAGGCTCCGTGTTGAAGGCCGTACTTTTACCTATAATTGTTTACTTTTTATACATTGTGACTTGGATGGAAAGTTGTTTCATTGGCACTCAAACCACATCTTCTCATTTATATTTGCTCATTGTTGAAGGCCGTACAGTGACCTAAATTTGTTAATTTCTGTGTCATTTGGTCTCCTTTGGAGAGTTGTCTCATTGGCAATCATACCACATCTTCTTTTTTATAATAACGTACTGTATTGAGTATCCATCTTGCCATAGAATATTTGAAGCTTCTTTATGATGGTTTTTCTAATAAGTGACAAATAGTCTATTTGATTTTCCTTTACCTTTTATTCTATTTTTTAAAATCCTTAAAGTTTTAAATCCTCAGAATCAGTTGCATATGAATCAAATGCAGGAATGAATAACGGCTCCCAAGGTCTATTCAATGTCTGTGTTTTTGCAAGAATCTGCATTTTGGAAATAGTTTAATAACATTTTTCTCAATTCTAAAATGTCCATCATCTAAAGATAAACTATGAATTTCACCGACTCTATTGACTGAAGCAATAGCTGCCAGACAAATTTTTTGAAAGTCAAAATTTTTTAAAAAACTAAACCTAGAGGTTCAAAGGATGTTTTGTCAGAGTGTTAAATTCCAATTTGGTGTCAACTGACGGATTGGTGGATTCATATCAAATAATCTCTTTATCAAAGACGGTAATTCAGGACTGTTTGCAATTTCTATTCCATTATTTTTCTCAATGATATGGCTGATTTATAACCTGTTATAGTCTGTGGTTTACATTTTCTAACAGAAGAAAGATGCAAAAAGAATTCAGCTACTTCTGGTATAGTTGTGGAACTGATATTGTGTTCTCTACACCAACTATCATCATAAAATATTTGTGTTGATGCTTTTCTGGCATTTGCCATAATCTCTTCAGTTTAGTCTGAAAATCCCTTTGATTATGCCGCAGTTTGGCAATTTCCATGCCACAAGATTCAATGTTTGTGGATTTTGATGGAAGATTTGAATTCGATTGTGAATTTGAGAGAGCAGATCTGGCAGAAGTGGTAGTTTTATTGGAATATCTATCAGTAGATCCAATATTGCTAATATGCTTTGTTAACGATATCGTACCGTCATTTGACACAGAATGAACTTAAATATTGAAATTTCGCATTTACCTATAAAGATTAGGTTCAGCATATCAAAGGACACCAAGAATTCAAGTATTGATGAAATCATCCAATTTAATTTGGGACCCTTTCGACCTCCATGACGACCGACTTGAAAGCGAGGCAAAAATTCTAAAAGGTAAATACCTGGTTAGATTCAGCATATCAAAGAACTCCATATATTATATTTTTGCTGAAATCAAACAAGGTTTAATTTTGGACTCCGATATGAACCAACTTGAAAACTGAGCCCAAAATTTAAAAAAAACTTAGTACTTGTTTAGATTCAGCATATCAAAAAACCCAAAGAATTAATTTTTTGTTATGATCAAACTAACAAATTTAATTTTGGACCCGTTGGATCTTAATGTGGACCAATTTGAAAACCGGGCCCAAAATCAAAAATCTCAATACACGCTTAGATTCAGCATATCAAAGAACCCCATGAATTCATTTTTTGCTGAAATCAAATGGGGATTAATTTTGGACCCTATGGAACTTAATATGGACCAATTTGAAAACTGGCCACAAAATTAAAAATATAAATACACGGTTAGATTCGGAATTTCGAAGAACCCCCTATAATTCATTTTTTGGTGAAATCAAACAAAGTTTAATTTGGACCCTTTGGACCTCAATATTGACCAATTTGAAAATTGGGGCCCAAAATCCAGACTCTAAATACATGGTTATATTCAGCATATAAAAGAACCCCAAGAATTCAAGACTGAATTAAACCCCATTGAAATTGATCAAGAAATAAGTAATTTATACTAAGTATTGAAAAGTATTGTTTTTCCTAAACGGTTAGGGCCTAAGCCCATAAAATCAATCCCAACCTTCTTTTTTTTTTGGTATGAAACCTTGTGGTACAATTTTATGGAGAACCATAGACTAATACTCAAGTTATTGTCCGGAACTAGAAAATCCTTGTTTTCGCCCTTTTTCCCTTAATTCCTAATAGGTTGGACAATGACCCCTAAAATCAATCCAAACCTCTCTTTTGATGTATCCATACATTTATACACAAGTAATGGTCTGGAAACCAAATTTCTTCGGACGACCACGACCACGAGGACAACGTCATACGATTATACAACCGCAAACATATGGCGGTTGTATAAAAAAAAAATCAAATTGTTATTGTTTTTCAGAGGGAGATTCCAAGAAAAATAAGGATTTCTTTACAATGAAAACAAAATAGAAAAAATTAACGACTCCATGAGTTAACGCGTGCTTTTTAATATGTATTACAGGTGGAAACTCCAGAAAAACAAAAGAAGAAGCCAGAATTACAATCATAATGATGTAGAGTCGTCTGATTTAATCTATTTTTATGAAGTTGTAAATGCATTTCACCCTGTTGGTTTCATTTAATTATAAATTGTATTCCAAAGAGGGATAAACCGAGACAGTATATGAAAAAACTGGGGACCTGTAAGTCTTTTAAACACAATATATAAACTTAGGTCTAGCTGATTTGCAGAACGCTGTTTGTGTAGAAAAGGTTCATTCACCATTTTTTATTTTATAGTTTCGTGCAGAAATACCAGAAATACTCATACGAAAATATAATGAAATCAAAGTTAACCCCATTATAATCATACATGTCCCAGAGTAATAAATTCACAGTATGCAGACGATATTTCTCGTATACTTGATTGATTACCAGAGTCTTTGGGTGCATCTCTCCGTAAAAACAAATTGCAGATGTAACAGTCATTAATATTTAAACAAGACCAAGGATGTTAAGATAGGAGGAAAACGTTGGACTAACCAAATATTATCACTTATTGCATACATAACAATAACTAAAACACTCACAATATTAAAATTAAATCATTTATTCCTATATATATATCTAGTTCAAATAGTACAATAAATAAACACTTCTCTGACAAAAAATTACCTTATTTGGGATAACAAGCTAGATAAAGTAGGAAGCGGCATGTCATCACTACCACATTGTACAGAATGTCTGGAAAATGATAAGCATTGCAAATTTCATTAAAATTTTTAAATTACCTTTCATTAAAAGTTTTAAATTAACACGGATTAGAAAGATGAGAAGAAACAGCTCATAACATGTAAGTCAATAATTTATAATGTATTTTTTTTCAGAAAAAAAGTGAATATTTTGGAAATGTTATGTTAAGGCTCTAATAAAGTTAAAATATCAATTTTTGAAAAAAGTCATTTGATGCTTGGAATGATTTCAAAGTTATACAAAATAAAAAAGATAAAACTCAAACTAGCACACATCTTGTTATATAATGGAAGAATAATGAAATAACGACTGAGAGATTGAACAGAAAAGGTGTTTGACTGATTGATAACTTGTTAGATAAATATGTGTAATTCATGACTTTTGATAATTTAAGGACGTATACAGAATCAAAACATTTTCTTACAAATCAAAGTATAAATTCTACAATAACAAAATATTTAAAAGTATATATCATATGTTTGAATAATTTAGAGAGAGTTAAAGGTCCAGTTATATTTTTATTTATTTTAAAAGTGTATTTTAAATCCCCAAAAGGCTAAAAAAAATGTTTAGTATTTCAATTAATAGATTAAACCTCAATCCAAAATGGTCTTTGCTTTTCGAGAATTACATTACATATATGTTTCATTAGAAGACAACAATCACGAGGCACTCCTATATCAAATTTTATTTCTTTATAAAATACAACAGCTATGACTGCACGTGCTATCCATGACAATGTTAAACCAATAAATAGAAAAACAAACGAAAAGCTTTATATGTTTCTTAATTTTATGATTGTACAGCATAAAATGTAGTTATAAGAATTGAATGCTTATTTTCATAATTCTATATGGTTGTAAAAGCGTTGGTCGTGCGCACATTTTAAACATGAACCGTTTACTCGCCTCATACAAAATGTGATTAATTGGTCAACACTTTTCCACCCAAATAAAATTATAAAAATAAGCATTCAATTCTTTTAAAATACAAACCACTGTTGGAATAATATTGGCCTTTCAATTATTAAAAATACAAAACTATGTTCAACTTGGCTTCAAAACAGAATAATACACGGGGCCCGTATGCATACAGCTACTTAAGTTAAGATTTGTTACAAACGGACGGATTTTTCTACATGTCCTACGATAAATTAGTACTATGATTGGATATCTGAACTTAAATGGTTTTATGCCTATCAGCCCAGAGGAACAAATAAATTCATCTTCAAAATAAAAGCTGAAAGGCACTAACTAATGATCGAGTGTAAATTAATTTTGTTAGAGGAACAAACCCAATATAACAGCCCTGAAAAATTGGTCAACAGTTTGATTGATTGATTGGTGTTAAACGGCCCTCTCAGCATTACTTGATATTTCGTGGCGGTCAGTGTTTTATTGTTGGAGGGAGCCGAACCATCAACCTTCGGCAGAACAGTTCTGGTCAATTAAGATTGGAGTCGTGCGAACCTGCCTCGTGCGGGATTCGAACTCACAACCTCAGTGTTGACAAGCTAGTGATACAGTATTTGAACTACTAAGACCACTCGGTCACTGTTGATTGAAAGAAAACTGGTTGATATAAGATATATATTTAAATGAATTAATTATTCAGATGAGCAAAGAACTACTAGAGCCGCTTGACAGCTTAATTGTCATTACAACAACAGAAATGACATGTTGTAAAAAATATGTCTCAGCCTTCACATTCTGCTCCATTCAAAAATGAGTTTAGTTTTGTTCATGGTAACGTATCAATTAAGTGTTGTTGTCATCAAGCGGATGTACTTTTTTTGCTTTTGTTCTATTTTTCTCTTTGAATTAAGTATCAAAATGTTATGCATCATAAGTTTATTAATGAAAATTATGTTTCTGTGCAAATAAAAGAAATTCATTACCGAAAAAATAAGACTTTTCCAAACATCAAATATCAAACTATGTTGTTTTCTTTTTTTAAGGACCAAGTGTAGCTATGTTTAATAAGATTTATTTGCTGTACAGGTTTAAAACCACTAAATCGGACCCGGCCAGAAAGAAAATAAAAGAAGAAAGTAGTACATATTTTAAACAAAATTGTTTTTACGCATAGCTGTAACTTTGTCAGTAAGTAGAATATTTGGGTAATTTTGGTATCAAATGGAAGCTAAAGGAATTGAACACTGTAAAACCCTTGTTGAAAATTCCTATTGAATAATAAACTATAGGCTCTAAATAGTCTGTGTCGCTCACCTAGGTCTATGAGTATCTTGGACAATGGACCTTCTCAAGCATTGTGGACTAGAATAGAATTTATGACAAAAATCTTTTTATTTTGTATTTTTTATATTGCTGATAATTATTTCTGTTTACAGTTTCTCTATATTTTCTTTTGTTTTTGCCCCAAACACAAAAAAAAGGTAAAATAATATCAATTAAGGCAACCACTCCTATAAAGAGCAAACCAACATTTCGGCAAAATTTTACTTATTTTTAGATCAAGTCGTGCTGATCATTTTTGCTTATTTAAGTTTCTATCTATCTATTATAGTTTTTCAGATATTAGGCAAAAACGAAAAAAAAAATGCTTAAAATCGTTATCACAGGGAAAGTAATCAAATAAGAGGTCGTCAGACGATTTCAACATTGTAAATTTATTTGTAGAACTTGTCTTGCTGATCACTTTTGCTTATTTAAGTTTCTATCCATCTATAACAGTTTTTTCAGATGTTGGGCAAAAAAGCAACAAATTGATAACAATCGTCATAAAAGGGCATTAACTCCAAAAGGGAGTCGTCTGACGATTTCGACCATAAGACTTATTTGTAGATCCTGACTTGTTGATCATTTTTGGTGTATATAAAGTTTATCTCTATCTATTATAGTTTTTCCGATATCAGGCAAACATCAAAAAAATGGGTAAAATCCGTCATTTAATTGCAACAACTCCTATTAGAAATCGTCTGAGAGTTTTGAAGTAATAAGCAATATGTAGATCTTATCATTCTAAACATTTTTGTCCCTGACAGATTTTCTCCATTCATAGCGGTTTTCGAGATAATAGACCAAAATTGCATTCTACCCCCTATGTTCTATTTTTAGCCATGTCGGCCATGTTGGTTTGCAAGCGGGGTCATCGGACACATTTTTTTAAACTAGATGCCCTAATGATGATTGTAGCCCAGTTTGGTCAAATTTGTCCCAGTAGTTTCAGAGGTGAAGATTTTTGTAAAAGTTAACGACGACGGATGACGACGACGGACGCCAAGTGATGCGAAAAGCTCACTTAGGTTTTTAGGCCAGGTGAGCAAAAATATATAAGACATTAAAATAGGAGGGTATACTTGCCCTGTTGCTCAGATCAGAAGTACCTGTTATTGTACTACCAAACGTCCAGTAACCAGTACTTTCTGGTATTCATTTTAAGATACAATATATGTTGCATTTTGCAGCATAAGTCATGATGAGGTATTATAGTTTTGACATGAAATGACTGTCACTTTATTTGAACTTAAGACAAAATAGCTAGGAATGCTTGAAATTGCAGAATTTGACATAGAAAGCAATGGGGCTATGAATTAGTGGTATTAATCCTACAAAGAGGCTAATCTCACCAGTTTTGAAGTTGAATTTCACAACATACTTACTCATGTTAGTTTCATTCCTGTATGATTATCAATACTTTTAAATTTGACAAGTATAAGAAACTTGTTTTTAAGTATATTACCCTTTATATGTATGTTTAGCTGTAAAAGTATTTAAAATTACACAGGAGTCGCTAGAAAAATACGAATATACCTTATTGCCTGTGAATTATCATATAATTTAAGCATGTTGTATCTTTCCAGAATTGTGACCCATTAGAAAACATTTGGTTTTTTTTTTTGTAAAACAAATATAGGAAACATAAAGTAAAAGTAGACAGAAAAAAAAAACAAGTATCAAATCTGTTTACTGAGAACTGTTGGGATCTCATTTTCTTGTCTAGGGGGGATATAGATATAGGAAGATGTGGTATGAGTGCCAATGAGACAACTCTCCATCCAAGTTACAATTTATAAAAGTAAACCATTATAGGTCAAGGTACGGCCTTCAACACGGAGTATTGGCTCACACCGAACAGAAAGCTATAAAGGGCCCCCAAAAAATTACTAGTGTAAAACCATTCAAACGGAAAAACCAACGGTCTAATCTATATAAAAACGAGAAACGAGAAACACGTATGAACTACATAAACATACGACAACTACTGTAATCAGATTCCTGACTTAGGACAGGTGCAAACATTTGCAGCGGGATTAAACGTTTTAATGGTACCAAACCTTCTCCCTTTTCTGAAACAATAGTATAACATCACAACATAGAAAACACACTTTAAAATATCAATTGGAAGGCTTAAGTCAATCAAAAAACGTAAATTAACACACAATAGATATAGGAAGATGTGGTATGAGTGCCAATGAGAATGAACGAATAAATTTGACCTGTGACACCTGAATGCAAATACACAGTTAATAAAAAATTACAAGGGATAAATAATTAAAGTCAAAAGTAAATAAACAGGTTTAAACAAAGTTAAAGTATGTAACTCATATTTATATCAAATATCTTAAGTTCAGATACGTAAATTTAACAATAAATATTTGCAAAACTCTTTCCGTGTACTTAGTTTTAAAACATCATTCCGTTGGAGAAAAAAAAACTTTATTTTGGTGTCAAATTAAACGTGAACGTAGCAGAATTATATATTGTTTTCGGAATATGGTTTTGTTATCATACCTACGTTTTGTTTATTGACAAATTAATTAAATGCCGCTTGTCTATGTATTCCTTTGTTTTTCAATCAAGAAACCTACATACGCCTACAAAACACTTTCCAGTGTGTTCTTCCCTTGCTACTACTTTGAATTCTGTCTCGTCATTTGATATCCCTATTAAGAGTTTAGTAGTACGCCGAAATCGGGGAAGTTTGATGCGAATGTGACCAATTTTTCTGCAAGATTCTTCTGAGATAAGCTTAGGTGGATGTTTGTCTTCTGATGCATATATTTGAATGTAAGCTTCTACTTGATTTACTTCAATCGGAAAATCATACTCGGTTACAACTTCATTTACTTGAATTGGGGACCCTTTTGGAATAATGGTGTAGAATTCTTGTTGTGAAGTCGGAAATGTAGTAAGTGAGCCATCGAAATTCGGCTTTTGTTCATCACCAAGAATTGCTATGCCATAATGATATTTTGCCATTCTGCCGACAATAGGAGTATCCATGTGACCCATGATTACCGCTCCCTTCAAGACAATTAAACCAGGCTCAAATGGACATATCACTGATAAATGGTTGAAGTGCTCTTGTATTGCGTCCTTGAGTAGGCCACATGATGCATATCCACCAACTAAAAGAAGGCTTTTAACTCTGGATAATCCGGGTTCATTCAGTAACATTTCTACATAACCAATAATGGTATCGATGCCTTCTTTGAAAATTGATTGTATTAACTCAGGAATAATCCGAAGTTGGTTTTGTTTTAGTTCAGCTTTACCTCTATATTTTTCTGCAATCATATCTGGATTTGACTTTTTAACCTCAACCAACAGCGAGCCCGGTATTCCAATCCTATATTTTGAATTACTCTTATCTAACCTCTTTTCCCGTTCGATATCTTTTACCAAATCTAGATAATCATCTCTATTTTCTGCAATAAAGGTTCTGAGTACCTCGGTGCCAAATATTCCTTGGAGAAGAGACCATATTTTAGTATTTATCGTATTTCCTCCCCAAGGACCTCCAGAAGCGCAGTGTATTTCTTTTATCTGACCTGATGTCATGACTTCATTTGCTGTTATATCCACTGTGCCACCTTAAAGAAAATCAAATGCACTAGAAACACTTATGGCATTTTTTTTTATTACTTCACTATTGTATACAGTAGATTTATTATGATATAGTATATGTTTAATGTGTGCATTTCAATATGTGTGTATATCATATTGGTGTGGATATATTATTGAAATTAAGTGTTACTAGTTAAAGACTAGTAGTCTACGAAGAATTTAGTTTTTAGCTCACCTGGCCCAATGGGCCAAGTAAGCTTTTCTCATCACTTGGCGTCCGTCGTCCGTCGTCGTCGTCCGTCGTCGTCCGTTAACTCTCCTCTGAAACTACTGGGCCAAATTTAACCAAACTTGGCCACAATCATAATGGGGGAACCATGTTTAAAAAATGTGTCCAATGACCCCGCCTTCCAACCAACATGGCCGCTATGGCTGAAAATAGAACATAGGGGTAAAATGCAAGTTTGTCTACTATTTTGAAAACCGTTATAAATAGGGAAAATCTGACAGGGGCAGAAATGTTCATAATGTTAAGCTCTACCAATTGTATATATACGTCAAAACTGTCAGACGATTTTTTATAGGAGTTATTGCCCTTAAATGACAAATTTTACCCTTTTTTTTCATTTTTGCCTATTATTTTGAAAACTATAATAGATAGAGAGAAACTTTAAATCGCAAAAATGATCAGCAAGACAAGTTCTACAAATAAGTCTGCATGGTCGAAATCGTCAGTCGACTCCTTATTAGAGTTATTGCTCTTTGATGACGATTTTTACTATTTTTTTGCGTTTTTGCTTTATATCTTAAAAATAATAATAGATGGATAGAAACTTGAATAAGCAAAAAACGACCAGAAAGACAAGAACTACAATTAAGATAATTTGAAGGAAATTGTCTGACGACTCCTTATTGGAGTTATTGCCCATTAATGACGATTTTTACCATTTTTTGGCATTTTGTCTTATATGATTAAAATTTTAATAGATAAATAGACACTATAAATCACAAAAATGATCAGCAAGTCAACTTTTACTAACAAGTAAAATTTTGCTGATACAGTTAGTAGACTTTCACTCTTTATAGGAGTGATCGCTCTTAAATGAGGATTTTTTTTTTTTCCCTCTTTTGTGTTTTGAGCAAAAACTAAAGAAGATAGAGAGAAACTAAACAGACTAAATGATCAGCTATACAAGATCAACAAAACAGAGATTTTTGTCATGAATTCTATTCTTGTCTATAATGTTGGAGAGTGTCCTTTGTTGAATATGCACATAGACCAAGGTGAGCGACACAGGCTCTTTAGAGCCTCTAGTTATATTTGTTCTGTACATGCTGTACTGAAAAATAACGAGAGTCAATATTTTTACACTTTTATACAGTGGACCAAATGCATTTACATTTCTGTTTTCGAGCATCGTTCAAACCAGTTTTCCTTGGTCATCATACAAACTATTAATTTATGCACACAAGAATATTTGCCTTTATGTCGAGTTATAATATTACTATAAAACATTATAGCTGGGCCTTCTAATTACCAAATACCCCCTTTCGGCAATAAGATGCTTTCGATAAAAAAAAAAAAAAAACTTATCTGTTACGTTTGATGGATATGTTTTTCAACAGGTAGTCGTAAAATGTTAACTTTAACCTTGATTGTGTAATGGAAAAGAAGAAATATGGTGTATTACATACCCATTTGGACAGAGGTAAGTGAACTATAGAAGTAATGAGGTGTGGTATTGATTGTATTTGACGTTTAAAGAGTATTCAGTAACAGGTAAACTAAAAGGGTAGGGCAAATTTCTCTTAAATTATTTCACACTTTTTCAAAATAGTTTTTCTATCTTTACGAGAATAGCATGGGTACTTTGATTTTGTTACATCATTATGACATGTTTCTGAACTTGTATTTTAATCAGTGATGATAAAGATGGCTCAAAACTGCAATTTTGATAGATTTCACCCAATTCAAGTATTTATCTAGACAGTCAATGAGAAGTTCACTCTTAACCACACCAAAAGTCTATCGGAAAAAAGCTATGTGTTTTTATTAACATACTCTATAACAATATATTAAAAATTCAGTCAGTGGCGCGCGGAAGTAGTCAAGAAGATAGTATGATTTATTTTAGGGGTTGACAGGATACACGTAATCGTTCGTAGTTTCAACTTCAAGGTTCTTATGCAAGCAAATTTAATAAACAATGATTCAATACAGGTTTTTTTGGTTTTTCACTTTACATAGGGCTTCATTTCTGATCTTATTTCTTTGTGCACAATTCAGTCTGATTCTACGTATTTCACCTTTGTCAATATTCTTTTTGGTCTATCCCGTTTAACACATGACATTTGCGCGGGAACTTCTTCCATTGACCATTGACATCGTAAATTAATGGACGTTAATATTTGATTTTGGATTATTGTAATGTGATATAAATTGTTTTTGGATTTAATGTGATATTATTTGTTTCTTCCTCTACAGTACATAATTTGACGTCAGGTTTGTACACATTAAGTTTATAGTTAAGTCAGAACTGAAGTAGATGTACAGCATATCCCATCATATTTCAACCCACAACTACAACTGATTAACGCTACAACTGTTGAATAGACCTGTATGTATATATATTTAATCTCATTCCAGTCCATTAAACTGGCAAAATCAACGGAATCAGTGTAAATTTCCCGAATTCTACGTCTTTCATCTTTATCAAAATCGTTATCGACGATTCTATATACCATTATATTTTATGGGTTGTTTATATTCAGAGTCGAGTTAATGTATGTTACTTAGTGTTTGTTTTTATTTTTTGAGAAAACAACTCAATTTCTTGATAAACTTCCTAAATACAGAAACATTATATATAGTTGACATTTTCATTATATTTTACTGTGTCAAAATGACCTAAATATGAAGGACAGTATATATAGCCCTGAAAATGGTATATCCCGTTTTACACATGACATTTACGCGGGAAAGACTTCCATTGGAACGTATCATAAAATTTATCTTGTCTTATCTTATCTTATCACCATTTCGACAATTAATGTGTTTCTCCATTGTAATTTACTGACTGTTCTAATTTGATCTCCTACCACTACAGTCATTCAAGTAGAACAGTATCAACATTTAATGTCGGGTTTGTACACAAATTATTTGGAATATACATGGACTTCAATCTTTATTATTTATTGAAAATAAGTAGATCCATCCTTTAGAAAAGTTGTTCTGAATGTAATAAATCCCCCTAGCTCCCCCCCCCCCCCCCCCCTTCTTTTTAAGTTAAAAAGGCTACATTTTCTTTTTTCCTTTTCTACAACAGCAAAATAACCCCTTGTCTGAGGGACAGTCCCTCAGACGAGGAATGTCCCTCATTTGTGTGTGTGTGTGTGTGGGGGGGGGGGGGGGGTTCGGAAACCCTCAGTGGCGTAGCTACCATTGACGCAACGACGCACTTGCATGCACAAACGAAATGGCCCCAAAAAAAATCATAATTAAAAAATCATAGCAGTCAAAAAAAGAAAGAGTGCGATTGACTGTCACTTTGTATATATAGGTGTTTCAACTTGTCAGAAAGGTTTCCGTGTTTTCTATCAGTTCAGTTTTGTTGTGCGTACATCGGTATATACAATTTTTAGACCATCTACTAATTTAAAACGAACTACGAGATTGTCTTGTCAATTCTGAAGAACGTTTTCTTGCCCAGATGCTTCTTCCAAACAATCTGAAAAGTTTGAATCGGGACCATCAAATTCGCATATTTCGCGCCTACGAGTCCGATCTTCAATCAGAAGATAAGTTTCTTCTCAAAATTAAAAGGTGGGTTGCGTGATGGGATATTTATCCATCTAAGAAACCAGACCATCTCTGTGCAACATTGAAGATGACGCCGAAAGAACTTTGCCCAAATATATTCTGTATTCTGCAAATACTTCTCACCATGCCACCCTCAACCTCTACTGCTGAACGCTCTTTCAGCGCTCTGAAACGCGTAAAAACGTATCTGAGATCGACCATGGGACAAGAAAGACTTTCTTCACTTGCACTGCTGCACGTTCATTCTGATTTTGACATTGACACTAATGAAATTATTGACACGTTTAACAATGCTAGGTAAATGAAAATGTTACTCTCCTAAAGGACCTCGGTTGTTAACTTCAGTCTTACATACGGTCTTACATACGAACGTCACATTCATATATCACCAAATTAATAATTGATTGTTTGAATTGCTTTGTTTTCGTATGTTAACATATATGTCATGAGATGATCCAGTTCTCTAGTCCTTTCTTTCTTTGAAGCATAATAAATTGGCCAGCATTGCAAAGTTTTTAGAATTTTTTAGTCAGTTTTAGGTCTTTGATTTGATATACTAGTAAAGCAAAACACTCAACTGTGCATACTTCACTTCAAAATTAACCATCTTATATCGAAAAAAGATTCATTTTCTGTAAAAAAGGGTCCAAAATTTTGTTTGCCTCGCTACGCTCAGCAACTTCTGCGTGCAGATCATTATAAGTCTAGCTACGCCACTGAGTTCCTAACCTGTTGTTTAGTTGTAAATCAGGCCATTACTTTTCTCAATTGAATAATATTTTTTGTTGCATACTTTTCATATCTGGACTTTTTACAGCCGACAAGGGTTTTCCTCATTTTTGAAGGCTGTATGGTTGCCTATAATTGCTTTGTTATTTGAACTTCTGTGGATAGTTGTCTCATTGGCAATCATACCACATCTCCTGATTTTTATATCGATTGCAGACCTGAAAAAGATGTACAAAGTTAAATGTGCTGCAAACTTCAAACAACCTACTACAACTGATTTACCATAAAACTGTTGAACAGAACTATATATATTCGACCTCATTCCAGTCCTTTAGGGGACGACCATTTGATATTCTGGGGGGGGGGGGGGGGAGGGGGCAGGAGGATTTGTTTTGGATCGGTTCTTTATTTTTGTGGACTAAAAGGACAGATTATTTATTTTCTGCACTGTTGAAGCATGATTTTTTTATTTTCATT